GTTTTTAAAATGTATTTACACTCAGGCGACCTTCCAATGCTGTATAAACTACAACACATCTACGCCAACAAGTTCTTCCTATATGAAGATCTCATCGCTGTCGGTTGTTTGGAAGAAAAGCTAATGAACGACACGAGGGATGAGTTTCTTGGTGTCAAGACGTTCAACGTGTCTATGTATAAAGCTGCTGGATTTGTCAAGAATAAAGTCAATTAACGTTCGCTAAAATTCATATGGTTTGAGAAAGTTGAATACCATTATATAATGAATTATTGTATGTTGAATAATTGGAGTCTATTCGACTGTATTGTCTTTTCTTACATCCGTATTAGGTAGTAAATTGTATAATTTTTTTTTTTTACTTTCTCGTTTACGAAGTATAGAGAACGTATTATAATCGTGCATTTAAAAAAATCGAGATGTTTGCAAATCTCGACGTTTTACACCTCCCTGAGTCGGAAAAATATAATTTTGCAATCTTGTCCGTATGTCTGTGTGTATGTGTGTGTGTATGTGTGTCTGTGAATACGATAACTTGAGTATAGTTACAGCTAGGTTGATTAAATTTCATATATAAGTATTATATCAAATGTGTAGTTCTGTATCAACTCTATATCCCGAGGTGCCATACCCCGTAGTGTAATAAAAGAATATTCGAGAAAATTTAAGGGAGATCACTCTCAGTTTATTTTTAATTGTATAGTTTGAAACATCTGTGTACATTTCATATAATTTATGTAATCAATGTTTTGATTGTGCTGTTGTAATTACTGTTTTTTTCTCAATTAATTTAGTTCATATATTTCGCTGGTTCATCTAATAAACTGCACTTACGAAATTGATCAGTTTATTCTAATGACTTGTTAATCCCATTTTCTGAAGTTTATTGTAAATACTTTTTAATCAATATTTTCTAATGTTTATTCTTAAGTACTTTTTAATCCCTATTTTCTGATGTTTATTCTAAATACTTGTTAATCCCTATTTTCTTGATGATGTATTGTTTTTCAAAAAAGGTCCAAATGTTGCAAAGAATTAGATTCGGCATTTTGTTCGCAATTTGCAATTTGTATTCGCGGGTTCAATTTGTTTTAAAATATCAACTTTTTACAACACCTTAACATTTTCAAATTTTACAAAGAAGCTAGAAAGGCGTTGAAACATATTTTGTCGTGTTTTTATTTTTTATTGGAACTGAACATGTGTGGCATGTTTTTAAAATATTCCTTTAAAGTATCTACACTTTAAGAATGAAAGTTAAAAATAATAATCTAAGAACACGTTCGCTGTGATACAGCTTACCTAGTATCTTTGAAAATTGTTAGGTTATTTTGCATTATAAAAGTATGCACACAAGTAAATAAAGTAAACTAAAGTTCCTTTTAATGTTGGCATATGAAGGGATAGCGTGGTCAGCAGTAAGACATACCGCCTTTACTTTCGCCAACGAGAATTCGAACCCATAAGTATCTTATTCAAACGCGAGACTTTCGGGCTAGCAGTCTAGCGCTCTACCTCTAGACCACGCCACCCCATTACAACAGCTCATATTTAAAATTATACTAATTGTGAAATCCATTTGCAGTTCCTTTGTGTAAAAAAACTTGAGGCTGCATAGCCGAAGGCTGTTAATTTTTCACCATGTCGTCGTTATGGCACATAGCTATTTAGTAAAGTCGTCTAATTTGTATGTGAATAATTTTAGCCGTACTAGCCATAGAAGTATTAAAGCGTGAAGAGAACTGCCTGGTTACCATTGGACGAATTAATATTTCAACCGTATGTTTTTATTTTATTTCCAATGTAAAAGCACCTAGATGCATAAGAGCAAAAACAATAAAAAAAAATAATAAAAAGATTTTAAATATCAAAGATAAATAACTCATACATTAATACGTGAGTACTAAATGAGCAGCGTCCCTTAAAATCTTCATCGAGTCTCAAAAGCATTCATTGTGTAAAACCGAGCATATAAAAATAAATTAAATGCATATATATATATATATATATATATATATATATATATATATATATATATATATATATATATATATATATATAATGTATAATGAAAATATATAATTTTTACTAATATCCCCCCCCCCGTCCCGCACACGGTAATTTTAGTCCGCACCCCTGTAAAGTTTTAGTGCTCCCACCCCTCCCCCGGAATCAAAAATAGAAGAAGCACTGAAAAACGTGTGTGTACCAGTGGTCAATGTGTAAGCCTATGTGATCGATCTACACATCACGTTTAGTTCACCAAGCCAAAGCTGTAGCTGATCACTAAAAACATTAGACTCATAAAAGATAAATCTGATCGCTCTGAACACAAATCTTTCGTTTGATGCAAGGTATTCGAAAAGATAATCAATTTATTTTTATAGTTAGGAAAAAGTAATTCACAGTGTGAGAAGATTAACTTTATATATATATATATATATATATATATATATATATTATATATATATATATATATATATATATATATATATTTATATATATATATATATATATTATATATATATATATATATATATATATATAGTATATATATATATAAATAAATAATTATACATATTTATATATATATATATATATATATATATATATATATATATATATATATATATATATATATATATATAATATATATATGTATATATATAATTGTAGTATATATAAATAAATATATAAAGTATATATAAATTGCGAACAAACATAATTGTGATAGTAAGGACCAAATTTCTTTGTGTTCTTAATTGTAATATTAGAATGCATTTCCTCCTATACATTTTTTTATTTTTTATTTCTGGATGTGCTTCCATAAACTACCCAGCAATTGTGTTATTAAGAAGCTAAGTCACCTAGTGAGAATGCTTTCCCCCATTTAACGAGGTTTCGAACGCGGGGCGTTTGGAGTTAGCAATCATACACTCTCCCTTCCTACCATACCGTCTTCGGGGATTAATCAACGAATCGAACTAAAAGTCCTCTAACTAAAACTGACATATTGACTTATAATCATCTTTACTCCTTGTTTAGCATAGGGCTGCAACTATATCCTACCATTTCGTCCTGTCCCCGGCTGTTGATTTAGCATCCTACCAAGACATCCCTGATGTCTTCAGCAGAGCTTCTTCCAGGCATCTCTCGCACCCCCTCCCCCCACCCAAAGTCTACCCCCCCCCCGCCCCCGAACGAGATGGATTTTATATAGTAAACATACACTTTTACTAGTGTCCTTCCCCCCCCCCCCGAAAAATGTAGACCGCCCCCCACCGGAAATTTCCAAAGTCCCCCCCCCTCTCCCCCCCCCCCCCGAGAAAAAAAGTCTGGAAGAAACATTGGTCTTCAGTTCTTCAAGAAGACCCCGCCTCCAGGTTTGTAACTGGATATATTAGCAATACATTTTGATCTGCGGCCTACCAACAAATAAAGAAAACACATATGAGGTTTACTCCCAGATTTTTTTTTAATGACTGTGTTCTAAATGAAAGGACAATGTTCTTTATCTCGCTGTCAAAAAAAAAAAAAAAACAGCTAAACGCTGAACGCATTTGACACAAGCGGTGTTATCGTGTATCATGTTGTCAGTGTCGGTGCCAGGTTATTTAGCGCCCTAGGCAAAAATTATTAAAAGCGCCCCCCCCCCCCCGCAATTTTTTTCGTGCCCCCGGGACAAACTTTCGATTTGCACCCCGTCTCAAACTTTCGATTTGCACCCCCCCCCCGTCAAACTTTCAATTTGTTTTTCCAACCCAGTTTGGCGCCCCCCCCCCCCCTACGGACAGCGCCCTAGGCGACCTAGGTAGCGCCGGCCCTGCATGTTGTAATAGTAAAAACGGTAAACATATTGATGTTAAATTATAAAGTAGACAGCACAAGTCAAATACTCTCAACACAAACAGATTAAACAACAAAGGAAAATGTGTGTAGCTTGATATACATACACTACAGACGCTGAATCGTGTAATCAATACCACTAAGATATAACTACCCAACCGTTTAAATACTGCGTGGTAGGTTGAATGATCGTTAGCGTGTATCAAAGCATAGAAACTCAAATAGAGTGTAGATTTGGAGTGAATAGCGAGTTTATTTAAAGTAAGTTTTTTTTTTTAATTTTATTTTATTAAAATTTTTATACCTGAAATCATTTCTAAATTACGCCTCAAAATGTAAATAATTAGAAAATTACGCTAAGGATAAGTTGTTTCCGAAGAAATAAAAACTTAACTTGAGTTAAACAAGAACGTTAATAGATAAATACAACTATTTATTTCACAATTTTGTAAACATTGAAAAGTATTTAAATTTAATCATATTGTCATATTAAAACGATTTATAATTTTTAATTTAAAAAAAAAGGCTCATTGATTGTTATCATACTTTCTTTGTATTTTCTTTTATTCTGCGATTGCAGGCAGTAGCGTCAATTAAGGTAATATACATACACACACACACACACATATATATATATATATATATATATATATATATATATATATATATATATATATATATATATATATATATACTGATTTTTCCCCATATATTCCAGCTTGAACGATAAGCGTGATGCTGTACCTGAGAATCAAAGCTAGTCGTGTAGGCTTAACACGCAACCGCTTCCTTTTGATTTTCATCATTATTGCTATAGTTATCATAACTCAAAAAGATGTCGTTCTTTTAACACTTTCTGGAAAACTAAAAAGAAATGGTTATAATTTGAATAGTATTAGGAATGGATTTAATTTAATTCAACAAACAGGTGGAGCAGAGAGCGATGAATCGTTATCGAATCAAAGAGAATTTTTTAAAGGATGCGCTAAATCTATTGAAAACTTGGCTGAAATGTTCAGAGTTGAAGAAGCAAACTGCAAGGCAATATTTTCTGGCAACAAAGATGACGTAGACGAAGGTGTACACAAGGCTAATGTGACCAAACGTAGCTTGAAGTCCAACGGTTATTATTTGAATTTAACAGAAAACTGTGACGTCTTTAAAAACGCGCGTGGTTACGTCACATGCCCAATGACGCGAGAAGAAGAAGAATTCCCGATTGCGTTTTCTTTGGTAGTTTACAAAGACGTGGAAATGGTTGAGAGATTACTCCGCGCAATTTACAGACCACAGAACTACTACTGTATTCACATCGATGCTAAATCGGACCAAGATTTTTTCCTAGCTATTTCCGGAATAGCGGAATGTTTTACTAATGTGTTTGTATCGACTCAGAGAGTGGACGTCCAGTGGGGAGAATTCAGTGTTCTGGAACCGGAACTGCTGTGCATGAAACAGCTGTGGAGATATACAAAATGGAAGTACTTTATCAACCTCACTGGACAAGAGTTTCCGTTGAAGACAAACGCTCAGCTGGTGAAAATTTTAAAAGCGTACAATGGTGCAAATGATGTGGAAAGTACAGTTAAAAGGTGATATTAGTTTTTTATACATACTGCAACAAACTATTGTGTGCTGGGTTCAGTGACGTTCAATGGGGGGGGGGGGGGTCAATTTTTACCCGGGGACAAACTTTCGATTTGCACCCCACCTCAAACTTTCGATTTGCACCCCCCTCATACTTTTTATATATAAACCGAGGGGTCTATGGGGGGTTATGACCCCCCATCCCTAACCCCCCCTGCCTACGCCACTGGCTTGGTTAATTACATTGTATATTCACAACATTAAATGTAAAAAAATTTAAGAAAATGAAATAAAATTTAAGGGCAAAGAAAGCCATTATAAAAAAAAATTTCTACGCTCTGAATAATACTAAATTAAATATAATGTTATGGACATACAAAATAAATTATTTTTAAGATAATAATTTGTAAGAATTTTTCTTTATCAATCGGAGTCTGAGATGTTAATTTATGGTAAGTAATGTATACGGTATGCATTACGATGCTTACATAACAGTTACTAATTATGGTTTTTTAAATTAAATTTTAATTGATTTAATTACACTTTTGCAGGTCGAAACCCTGAAAGATGGCCAACAACCCCACCTAGAGATTTTCGACCTGTTAAAGGAGCTTCTCATATAACAGTCAACCGGTATTGATGAAATAAAATTTAAAAATAGTTATGGAACAACGAGCTAATGGGTTCGATATAGCATACAGCACTGCACATGTAGTAGATTGTCGATGTATACTTAATAGAATATGTATACAGAGGCTATTTTTGTGTTAATGTGTATACAATTTCTCTCTTAAGTTTTCCAATTAACAATATGGTGTCTGTAATTATCAAACGTCTGACATATTTTAAGTGATGTTGTAAACAGTTTATAATCATCACATACATGCATACATAAATACAAAATAAATGCAGAACCCTATATACGTATATATATATATATATATATATATATATATATATATATATATATATATATATATTTATAGAGAGAGAGAGAGAGAGAGAGAGAGAGAGAGAGAGAGAGATACACATATAAATATTTAAATATACATATGTATTAGTAGGCTATATGTTTATATATATATATATATATATATATATATATATATATAGATATATATATTATATATATATATATATATATATATATATATATATATATATATATATATATATATAAATATATAAATATATAAATATATATATATATATATATATATATATATATATATAATATATATATATATATATTATATATATATATATATAATATATATATATATATATATATATATATATTATATATATATATATATATATATATATATATATACATAACTACATATATTTATTTATATATGTGTATATTAAATGCACAGAGACTTTGTAGACTATCTTCTACACAATAAAACGTCCATTGATCTCCTAACGTGGGTTAAAGACCAAGACTACCCAGATGAAACATTCTTCGCCACATTAAACCACAACCCTCAACTTGGAATATCTGGTACATTTATAGGTAACCACGGGAATAAAAAATTATTTAATTAGATATTAATCTTATTTTTTTTTCTAATTACATAACCGACAAACTAATACACATGTTATGATGGTTAGAATTAAAATTAATTAAATATTAAACTATATTGATTGCTGTATTATTCAGGGATGAAAATGGGTCGAGGTAGGACTAGCTAGAACTCACCCCTCCCACTCTTCACATATGTACCAAACACATAAAGCTATACAAGACAGTTATTTTATACATTTTGTGTTTTTTCATTATTAACTGTAACTTACGTGATATAAAATACAATTGTTTTTTTCTTCTATAAGGTGCATCAACTTTTGATAAAACGATGATATTAAACACGTTAAAATATGAAGTCGAATATGGCATACGAACTGACCCGCGACGTAGCATACGCCGCTATCTAGTTTTATTTTCTACTTATCAACAATTCATAATTTGTGAATTCGACACTACCCCACCCCCACCCCACCCCCCTGCCTCTCCCACCCCACCCTGCCCAGTGAAAGCAGCCGTTTACAGACGACAATGAAAATATCAAGCAGAACTTATTATCTCTCCTTAGTTTAGAATCGTTTGAAAACTAAATTATATGCCCCTAATAGCCGTCACTTATTCGAACCGATCCAGCTCTACTTTTTTAAACATTCGGGATGAACCACAGCTCACCTGACAGGTGGTGATGAGGGTGATGGCTAAGCTGCGTGGTGTCTCGTATGTTCCCTATGAAGAGAATTATATATATAGATAGATACTGTTTATTAAGTGATACATAAATGAGTCGTTTTTTTGTTGTTGTTTTATTTTAGGTGAGCCAGAAACAAACCATGAAAACCAAGCCGTTTTTGTCCAGGTTCAAGAACTGGGGAAGCGAGTGTCTACTTACCTGGAAAAATGAGACAGACACGTCAAAAGAAATGCGCCTCAATGTGGCCCTGTGCAGGGAAATTTGCCAGAGCATCTGTATACTCACAACAGGTATTTTGTTTACTGTTTAATGCCTTAAAATGGTAGTTCACCATACTTTTATATTACTACTAACAATGACTTAGTTTTTGTCAAATATGTCTGTGTAATCTAGTGCTTTAAAAAAAATGTAAGTTTAAAATTATGTTTCCAAATAATTTGTCTATTAATTTACAGTATTTGCTTTATTAAATGTTTTATTTCCATTTTGTATGTATGCATATCGTAGAATATCGTTGCACTATACAATGGGGTCGTTAAAGTAATGTCGGAATTTCATACATTCCCAGTATTATATATATATGTGTGTATATATATATATATATATATATATATATATATATATATATATATATATATTTAATATATATATATGTATATATATATATATATATATAAATATATATATATATATATATATATATATATATATATGATGTCAATAAGTTCCCAAACTCACAAAAGCTGAATTGTAATTTTAATTTCCAGGTGACCTCCCATTATTATATACCGTCCCACATCTTTTCGCCAACAAGTTCTACCTAAGTGAAGATCTCCTGGCAGTAGGTTGTTTGGAAGAAAAGTTAATGAACGACACAAGGGATGAGTTTCTTGGTGTCAAGACGTTCAACGTGTCTTATTATGAGAGTGTTGGGTTTGTTAAAAACAAAGTAGAATAGAAAAAAATAAGACAAGTAATCAGTGCGAATAATGTAAAGATTATCAACTGAATGAGATTTAAGACTTACAAATCTGCAAAAGTTAGACTTTTCATATTTTTTTATGTCAAAATTTTGTTAACTTGAAATGTCTACAGATCAAGGCTAACCTTAAGAAATATTTTATTTCTTTTTCTTTTTTTTTTTTCTTTTTCTTTTTTTTTAAGCCTATCATGCAATAATGCCAAGCTTGTTTGAATTGGTTCTGTGCATAATAAAATTCATCTTAAAATTTCGTTTTTAATTAAAATTAATTTTCTCAACAATTTTATGGAAATTCTCCGACAGACTTTGTGCATTCAATTGTTCTCCACTGTTTTATTCATTTTTCCACAAGTCTACCTGACATACAACATTCTGTCTGACTCAAAAAAAATGCACATCACGGTCGTTCACACCGCTTGTATACACACATTCGATTTTTTGGGTAACAAAATATAAACACAACAGGTTTAATCTTATATTACATACGCACTACTCCTGTCTTCTAGGCTATTCTTACCTGACTTATATATGACCCACAACACCAGGTGTCCAGAAAAAAAATTCCTACCATATAACTGGCAAACTGTTCCGTTATTATAGGTAACACCAATTATAACATTTACACTGACATCAAAATCTACCATCATGATGTCACCAGTCTATCATTTTCACGCGAAGGCGTTGTTAGGAGAGGTCGAGTGGGGCGGCACCCCTGGGCGCCAATCCTAGCTATGCACAGAGGCGTAGCGACCCTTTCCGGCGCCCGGGGACAAACTTTTTCGATTTGCACCCCCCCTCTCAAGATTTCGATTTGCACCGCCCCTCCTCAAGATTTCGATTTGCACCCCCCCCCCCTCAAACTTTCGATTTGCATTTCCCCTCCTCAAGATTTCGATTTGCAACCCCCCCCCCCTCAAACTTTCGATTTGCATTCCCCTCAACTTTTCAATTTATTTTTCCACCCCCATTTTGGCGCCCCCTAAGGTCGGCGCCCGGGATGTCCTCCCCCCCCTCGCTACGCTACTGGCTATGCCTCCTGTGCACAAACCCTTGTGGCGTCAAATGGGTTGGGGGAAAAAAACTCATTTGCTGAATATACGGAATCAAAGTAAAGAAAAATATTCTGCTAAATAGAATGAAGGTCTTATTGAACTGTTTTATACATAACACGAGCTGACCCGCGTCGTAGCTATAGCCGCTATTTAGTTAAATTCCTATTTTTCAGTAATTCATAATTTGTGAATTCGACACTACCAATGCTGCGACTGAATATATTTTGCTTTAAAACACTATCAGTAACTAGTGAAGGACGAGTATCCTCACCCTCACTTTCCACCCCTCTCCCCCCCCTCCCCCCCCCCAACCCGTCTCCGTGAAAGCAGCCGTCTGTGACGATAGTTTATAGTCGACAATGAAAAGAGCAAGCAGAACATGTTATTATCTCCCCTTAGTTTCAAATCGTTTAAAAACAAAATTATCTGCCCCCTATCAGCCGTCACTATGATTGTAAACAGCTCATGTTACTGGCGGGGGTGGGGGTGGTAGTGATATAGTCTGTTTAGCTTACGTCTTGGTGTCTCGCATGGTCACAATAAAGTGAATTTTATATATAGATGTTTTACACCAAAATAGAAACAGCGACTAGTAATAAGCGCTTCCGACATTTTCAAATTTTAAGGGGAGGGACGCTTTTCTTCAAAAGAAATTAACTATAAATAAACGAGAGCGGGGGGGGGGGCGTGAACATTTACCCCGGGCTAGCAGATGTGAGCTCCAGTGGCGTAGGCAGGGGGGGTTAGGGGGGTCAAACCCCCCCCCCCCCCCCCATAGACCCCTCGGTATATATATATATATATATATATATATATATATATATATATATATATATATATATATATATATATATATATATATATATATATAAAGTTTGATGGGGGGGTGCAAATCGAAAGTATGACGGGGGGGGGGGTGCAAATCGAAAGCTTGAGGGGGGTGGAAATCGAAAGTTTCAGGGGGTGGAGGGTGCAAATCGAAAGTATGACGGGGGGGGGGGGGGGTGCAAATCGAAAGCTTGAGGGGGGGGGGGTGCAAATCGAAAGTTTCAGGGGGTGGAGGGTGCAAATCGAAAGTTTGAGGACGGGGGTGGAAATCGAAAGTTTTTTTCCCCGGGTAAAAAAATTTTCCCCTTAAGACGATCCTGGCTACGCCACTGGTGAGCTCTACTACTCGACCACGCCGTTCCTAAATACTATGTTATTGACCCGTATCTGTAGATCCCTAACCGAAGAGAGCATAACAAAAAAATCGATCCCGTAATCCGCTGACAGAAAAACTTATAAAAAGAAACAACACATCATATTAACTCACGCGCAAACTATTTTTAGCTGAGCTGTCAACACACTCAGTCTTACTCATAGTGTGTGTAACTCATAAAAGAACACACTGAGATTATATCACACAGGCCAATGAATGTATCTGATCATTCATCCTCTTCACTCCAGATGCTGTTATAATAAATCGATACAGTTCAATCAATACTTTAAAAACAAAAACGTCGTTGATAACTATATGAATTAGAACATAACGCTGGTTTCTTCAGCGGGGTTTTTTTTAAATAAAAGTATTAGTTTCTTTCTAAGATCGTAATACTTTCATAATGAATAGCATAGCTTAATAGCGATTTTTTAGAAATTGTAAAAACAAAAATAAAGCGATACATTTATGAATGGGGAAATTGAAATTTTATATTTCTGTGTAGAGCAGGGTGTCCGGTCAAAAATAACCTGGACAAAAACCCCCTGTACAAAAAACCCCCGACATAAACCTCCTGGACATAAACCCCCCCGCGACATGAACCCCCTGGACAAAATCCCCCCGCGATATAAAACCCCTGGATAAAAAACCCCCGCAACATAAACCCCCTGGAGAACCCCCCCCCCCCCCCCCCCCCCCCCGCGACATAAAATGGAAACATTGTGATTCAAATAGTGAAAACTGCAAACAAGTTTCGCAATTTTTAAATTGCAATGGATGAGTCGCTAGACATCTATTTTTGGAACAAGTACAGGGCAACACCTTGACGCATTTTCAGCTGTGCAAGGTCTTCATGGCTGAATCAATAGCCGAGTTCCCCACATCATTTGCATGCGAGATCATCAAAGACCTCCAGCTGCAGTTTCAGTAGCGTTTTCTGACTAGGATTCTAAGGCAGAAGAAAGTCTGTTTCAAAACCCATTTGAAGCAAATGTAACCAGTTGCCCAGATGAACTGCAGATGGAGGTCATTTAATTGCAAGCAAACGACTTCCTTTGAGACAAGTTCAAAGAAAATTGCTGGTAGAATTTGTGTTTGCCCAAGGAGAACACACTTGGACCTCGAGTGTTGTCGCCCATGACAGTGTTTCTTTCAGTCTTTTACTCCTGGGGGGGTATTTTAAATGTGTATATATTTCTATATATATTAAATTTCTTTGGGGGGGTGGGTGGAGTGGGGCACGGGGTAAACCGCCACCCCAAAGAGATGCATGGAATAAACTCTGGCCCCCGAACTGATAATCGATAGTTAATGCGGCCCTCGGACTGAAAAGTTTGGAGACCCCTGGTGTAGAGGATACACATTAAATGGTGTTTATAAAATTGTAATAAACCTTGTGTATGTACGTTTTTTGATGTTATGTATATATCGTTCAGAAAAAACGTTGTAAGTTTCCCTAACGTGAGTTAGGTACCCATGAGAACAGGGTGGTCTCCTGACTTGAACCCGGATTCCAACTCAAGACTTACGGATTAGCAGTCTAGCTCTCTACCTCTAGGCCACTCCGTTCCATTAGATCGTTTTTGCTTATAATCAAGTCATGATGTTTTCATGATCTCAACCTATTATAAACGTTTGGTTAGCATTGTGACATTCACATTTTCTCCATCTTTAAGACCGTAACGACGCTCCCAGCGTCCGATAGAATTTTCTCTATTTAATTCGTTGTTTTTCAGAATCCAAGTTTTTAATCGTAAATCTAGGTCATGATAACGCTAGAGTGGCAATTTTTCGTTGTATTTACTTCTTGTAGTTTTCTCGTTAGATTGTTTTGTTTTTACAAGCTTTTATTTAACTCACTTCCTCTGTCTGTCTGTCTAGATCGAAACGGCGGAGCGAAAATTCGGACAATTCTACTTGACCGATACGATTCACATTTGGTACGTGAGTCAAGACATGAAGACAATGCAATTTGAAATTAAATTTGACTTAATTGGATGCTTAATTAATTTTTTATGAATTAATTAAAATTTGGACCGAATCAATAGGCATGTCTATCCAACCACACAACACGCGTTATCACGTTCAATAGCTGCGCCATCACCTTTAGTAGGCGCGCCATGACGTTTAGTAGGCGCGCAATGGTTTTTAGTCATGTAACTCTATTGTAAATAAAACATGTAAAGTACTGAAAAAATTTTTCATAACAAACGTTTTAATAACAAGCTTTTATGTAATAATGCACTAAAAAGTAGAAAATAAATTATAGACTACTATTTAAATAACTATAAAGAAAAGCGTGGGTCACTTTAGTATCGATTGGATACCTTTACTAATGTTAAGGAAGACACCCACGCTTTTCTTTATAGTTATTTAAATAGTAGTCTATAATTTATTTTCTACTTTTTAATGCATTATTACATAAAAGCTTGTTATTAAAACGTTTTTTATGAAAAAAAATTTTATAGAAATGTTTTGGTCAAACAACTCGCAAAACGGCATTTTTTTTAACACTGCGGAATGCCTTTCAGCCGCCGCGTCTAAATGTTTACGTCGACGCTTTACAAATAAACCAAAATTAAAGAATTTATGCTAATCCGAATTAGTATTTATGGTCTGATTACTTGCGAGTAATCAGACGTCTTCCTTAAGCCTAGCCACTAAAACAGTATTCTGGACATGGCTTTAATCAGTGTTTCTTCCAGACTTTTTCTCCGGGTGTG